ATCCCTGTGGGCGGGAGCAAAAGCCAGTTTGGCCCATGTCTCTGCTAGTTGCGGCTATCACCCTTGGAGAGAGCAGTTGTGCTCCCATCCTCTTCCCAGTGCAAACGTTCTCATGGGCGCTTCAAAAAGTTTATACCAGTGTTGGTAGTCCTATGGCTGGATGGCCATATCAGTATCCCGCTGTACCCTGGTATTCATCCATGCCTTTGCACATCATTGCTCCTGTCTCCCGTAGCCCGCAGCTCTGGAGCCAGGGTAAGTGGGTAGCATTCTCTCAGTCAAAGGACCATCTACCTGCATTCTCCCTCCACAGTGTACACTCTCTTGCTAGCATCTCAAAACTCTTTCAACCCCCAAAATGGGCCCCTTGGTAGATTCCAGCACTGGCTGGCCTCAAGGGATACCACACTTGTCAAACTAGGTTTTTTTAAAGGGCAGAATATTGCTTGCGGTAGATCTAGTTACAGAAACCATAGGGAATAATGGCTAAAGCCTTGAATTCATCACAGAACAGCTGCTGAGTCACAGCTACTCCTGATATTGGCAGGACAAGAATGTAGTAAAGGGGGTTCAGTATAAACTAACTGAGTACTTACAAAAAAACAATAGAAAAATAAAATTCACTTCTCTATAGGTAAAGAATTCTACGTATCAAGGCTTACCACAAAAGTCTCTTTCCTTTCTCTCACTCTCCAAGCACAGATTTCTAGCATATAACCCAAAAATCATTACTTAATTTTCAAAATATAAAAATTCACATAAAAAATCCGAAAAAAAATCCATCAAAGCACTTTTTCCATGGGAGAGGATTCTCTATAATTAATTAGGTTCTCTAGAATAGCAAAAAAATGAAATTTTTCAGTCTTTCTAAAGACGAAAAAGCCCCAGATGCTGTAAGTTTAACGTAACACATTTTCTTCTAATTCACTTACTTTATACAACTTAACCCATAATACTTTGAAATGCTGAGTGCTTAACTATGAGAGATATTTTCCAAACCCACTAAATTTCTAAAATTCAACCTGGAATCCCTGTTTGGGCACCATTTGTCACAAACAAGACTAAACCAGTCAGAGTCACTCCAGGTGAACTGGGCTGGCATGAAATAATCACACAAAGATAAAGAAATACCTTTTTATTTGGATTCTGTGATGGCTCTTCTACCTAGTTCCAACAAAGGAGGCAAGGCAGGCAAGAAAAATAAAGAGCACTCCTAGAACCAAATTTTATTGAGGGAGAAGCCATTCAAATGAGGCAAGGGATCAGGATTCAGGGGATTGAGTCTAGCTTGTGATGTCTTGCAGATAAGCAGGTTGACTGACATCTTGGAAGGCCATGCCATCTCATGTGGTATGTGATGTTCCAAGGCAAATCAAGTGAAAGGCACACATACTTGCACAGCACAGAGAAAGTTCCATCATCAGTTCAGTCCACTTTGTATGCTAAAGATGCTCACAGCTCACACACAGAGCCCATGGCTGGCTTGCCACATCTATACATTCCTGTCGCTCAAAGCTAGTGGGTGCTCATGTGGCAGTTCCCAAAAGTAGGCTCTGATAATATATGGTGGAGCCTGAGGGGGACACAGGCCAACCCAGGCAGAGAGGCTCTACCTCCTTTCTCATACTCCTGTCAGGGCCTTTGGTTATGGCAGCAGGGCCATGAGCCAGGGACTGGGCTGAGATGTGGGAATTCAGTAAGTGGATGTGCACCTATGTGTGTTTTGTCTTCAATATCTCTGACTGTCAGGGCCCATGGTGGCTTTTTATCCCATGCCCTCTGTCCCCAGTGATTCACAGCACAGAGCCTTGCCTGACATTGCAGCTGTAGGCATTTTTAAGCTCACTTTTATACTTTCCTCTCAGTGCTGTTATTGATGAACTCATTTTCTCAAAATGACTCAGACTCTGCCAGAACTCTATATGTTTAATATGTAATGTTTTCTATTTGATTATGAACTTTCATGAAAATGGCATTCTCCAAATGCCACCTGTAAGGTTGCTTTTTGTCATTATTTCGAGTCTCATCATGGACTTGTGGTTCTTTATCATATTAATGGTCTCCAAACCCCTATTGTAGGATTTGAGCAGAAGAATACCATGATTTGAGATGTGCTTTAAAAAAAAAAGCTCACTCTGCCTGCTGTGTAGGTAACATATGATAATTGAGCAGGCATGAAATCAGAGGTACCAGATGGAATGGGAGGCAGTCTAATTTAGGAGATAGATGGTGACCAATGGAGGGAGTGAGAAGTAACTAGATGCTAGGGGGTGTGTTTGTATGTTATATGTATATATTTTTTTAAAAAAATATATATATATACACATACACACACACATACATACATATACATACATACATACATACACACAGGGGCAGGGATTGTGGCTCAGCAGTAGTGCACTTGCCTGGTATGTGTGAGACACTGGGTTCGATTCTCAGTACCGCATATAAATAAGTAAATAAAGGTTGATCAACAACTAAAAACAAAAAAAATTAAAAATAAAATATATATACATGTGGTATGATGTTTTCTTTGCTTTATTTTTGTGTTTTCTTTTTTTCAATATTGGGGATTGAACCCAGGGCTGCTCTACAATGGGGCAGCATTCACAGCCCTTTTTAAAATTTTGAGACAGGATCTCCCTAAGATGCCGAGGTTGCTCTGGAATTTGTAGTCCTCCTGCCTCATCCTCCCAAGTCACTGGGATTATAGGCATCCAGCACCATACCTGACTCTGGGATATTTTAAACATAAAGCCAAGAGAATTTCTTGATCTGTTTGCTGTCGAGTGGGAGAGAAAAAGAATATTCCATGATACATGCAAACTTCTGCAGCTGGGCAAGTGGAACATCTGTGTCAAATGGTGTACTAACATGGAATTTCACCTCCAGTGCCTTACCCCCAACAGGGAGAGTCTGAAAAGTTGAACAGGACTGTGCTGAGAGTAGGTCACTCAGTGGATTTCACTGTGTGAAAGCAATGATCGCCCCTCCCTCCTGCCCCTAGGAGGTGTTCACCCGAGGCCTGGTCCTCATCAGGATGTCGCAGAGTGCTCAGGAATGGACCAGTTTCTATCCATAACTGTGTCCTGAGGCAATGGGAATCATTAAATCATGAAATGTATAACTCACACACCTAGGGAATCTTCATGTTTAGAGCCTAAGAGCAAGTTGTTTTCTGACGTTCTGGCTACCTTAATCCCCATCTCCACCAAAGCACTAATATTGCCTTCTGCTGGTACATGTTTTCAGTCAACTCTGGCATCAGTAAAATAAGCCCAGTGAGTCTACCTGTGGGAGAGGGAATTGAGAGTATCTTATTTCTGTAGATGCCATCCCTGCCCCCAAACAAAGAAGAAAAGAATGTTTCAAGTCTTGCCACCTGATGAATTCGTTATCTGGGTGGGGAATGTGGGGATTGAAAAGCAACAGCAACTCCTAGGAGAAAATCCAGGGTCAGATACAATCCAAATGATATGAGTGTATTTATACACACACACACACACACACCCACACACCTTGAGGCTCAGGCTGCATTGTCCAACACACTCAAAATCAGATCAAAGACAATTAAGGAGAGACAGAGAGGGGTATTACATACATACTATGTAATAATGATGCTAGGTATGTAGGTACCGAGACACAGAGCCTCAAAGTACCTGAAACAGCAAAAGCAGCAACAACAAAAACAACACTGATGGACCTGAATGGAGAAATAGCTACATCTACAGCGAGAGTTGGGGCCTTCAGTACTCCATACTCTGGCATTCCTGGGCAGCAAAGCAGGTATGATATACAAGACCTGCGTGATATGATACAGTAACAGGATGTAAGTAATCAACATCGGGAGAGTACCCTTTTGAAATATCTTCATTGGTGCATTGGTGCAAATATCACCCGATGCCAGGATTCAGAATGCCATATTTGGACATGCACATAATTTGATCTGTCTCATTCCCCAGTACCTTCCTTTTCCCTTTCCTCCTCCCTCCCTCTGATCTGCTCGCTCTGCTCTACTGATCTCCTTTCTACCATGATTACAATTTTAATTGGCGAATTGGGATCTTTTTCAAGTGCCTGAACCATCTGCACAGAGAGAGCATCTTCTCTGCCACCGAACACACCTCAACAAATCTACATCAACTGAAGTCATACAGAGGACATTCCCTGCCCATTTGGAGTCAAACTGGGAATCAATAACAGAGAGAACAGGAAAGTCCCCACACATTTGGGGATTGTATTTGAAGCTGCTCATTCAGACCCTTGTTACAGAAGCATAGAGTTTAGGAAGAGTCCTGTCCTGGGCTGAAAGCATTGCAGGCTGTGCAGAAGGAAAGCTTGCTCTGAATATGTCAAGCGGAGTATTGTTGAGGGCGAGGGTGGATTCCTCCCAACCCTCATTAAAGCTTTTACTATACCAGCAAAGGAAGCTCACTCAGCTAGCTGATTGTTCACAGTTAGTTCTGGGGGCTGATTGGATCTGGGCAGGTGACAGAAGTTGCCTCCCAGCCATTGGTGGCAATCGGAGAAGCCTCAGAGAAGGCAGGGGTAGGACAGCTGCCTGATGTGTGTGAAGCCTAACCCAAGGGCAGATGCACCCCTGATCCTTTTCAGTCCTGCTCCATGTAGTAAAAGGTCCAACAGAGCTGCTTCCTCTTCCACCGTGTCTCCTCTAATTGCATCACCTGTGAGATAAAGCGCTCCTATCTGAACAGACAGAGGAGTTTGCTTTGGGGGGGGGGGGTGTGATTGCTTCTTGGGGCAGGCTGACACTTTGCTTGTCCTTCCCCTGTGTTAGCCCAAGATGCGGTACATCGTAAGTGGACCATTGATGTGTCTTTATACCTGTGTTTTTGTTCCCAGTTTCAGAATACAGGGACAAATGCAGTACCCTTCAAGGAAGGAAGAGATGTGGGAGTTTGTCCTGGAGCAACTCTGGCAGGAGGAAGCTTCATTATGAGCATACTGGGTATGAGCTTCCACCTTCATGCCTCCAGGAGGATAATGGGAACATGGGGATGAGGGATGTCCATGATGAATCCCAAGTCAGGTAGTAAGTGACCAGGCAGCCTGGGTTGTGGGCAGCAGCCCCTGGACCACTCTGTGTGGCCTTCCTTTTCTTCTCTCACTGGAAAACTGAAGAACAGTGGATGAGGCATATCCTGGTAGAGCAGTCCTCATTCTCACCCTGGCATCAGGGAGGAGGGGCGGGGGTGTAGAAGCCTTCCTAAGCATTGATGGAAACCACCTTCTCCCCCTTCACCAGCACACCTTATTCAGCCCACCATGACCACAGGAGAGGGAAATGGCATGATGAAGAGCCTACCCATGTGACTCTGTGGAGAGAGAAAAAGACTCGAGGGAGAGAAATGGGGAAGGAGATACGAGATGGAGTGAAGAGGAGATGGTTCAAAGTGACAGTGAGTGTCTTGGAAAGGTCTGCATTAAGTAGGCTCTTCTGGAGCCTGAAAGAAGGAAAATGACATTAAACAGCATCTGTTAAACACCTCCACTTGCAGGAGAGCTGAATGGAAAGAAAGGGGATTCTGGAAATCAGTATTGAGTGCAGAAACATGGACTCATGCTTTAGAAGTCTTTTAATGCTAGGCAAGAAAATAGCACTTGGCTGGGTCTGTCCTCCATCCTAATTCCTTGCTGTCTCCTCTGCTCTGACTCTTTCTTTTTATCCTTAGATTCCATATGGGAGAAAGTATGACAAGGCATGGCTAATGAATTCAATCCAGGGCCATTGCAGTGTCCCCTTCACCCCGGTCGATGTAAGAGAGGATGGTGAAGCCAGCTGAGTGGGCACAGGGGAGGGGGAGAGGCCTGGCTCAGCAGGGGCCATTGTCATCTGATACCATTGCTTCTGCCCTCACTGCCTGTGTAGTTCCATTACATCGGAAATCGGGCCCGGTTCTTTGTCCAGGATGCAGGAACGGCCTCGGCATTGAAGGATGTCAGCTACAAGATTTGCGATGACAATGATGTAAAGGTGTGTGCTAGGGGCTGTCCCTGCACCATGTCTTGGGGAGGGAGGATGGACTAGGGGCTGGTTGTCGTCTTTGGGATTAGTGGGCCTGTTGTTGACCCTACCTCTCCTTCCCACAGATATTGGTCTTAGTCAGCCCTTCTGCTGTACCCTACTCTGTGCAGAATAAGTTCTCAGCAGAACAAGTAGAGCAGCTAAAGGTAGTGCAGATTCAAGGCATGCTATGTGCCCACTCCCCGGATCCTACCTGCTCTCACCTCCTGACACGATGATTCTTGTCACCACGCCCCCACACAGCCTCAGAGCCACTTTCTCCATCTCTGCCTCTGCAGTTGACCATGAGAAAACGATATGATGTCTCCCAGCAAGCTCTCGACCTCCAGAAGCTCCGATTTGATCCAGGTATTACCGACCACAGTAATTCTAGGGCAGGTGAGGGCAGAGGGGTTTTCCTGGGACGAGGAGGTAGGGATTCAGCTTGGGGAGGGTTTTTCTTATTTGCTCTTTTAAATTATACATATGAGAGTAGAACGCATTTTACAGATTATACGTACATAGAGTATAACTTATTCTACTTAGGATGCCTCTCTTGTGGTCATACAGGATGTGGCGTTATCTTGGTTATATATACGAATACAAGGCTAGGGAAGTTATGTCCTATTAATTCTACTGTCTTTCCTTTTCTGCTCCCCACTCCCTTCCCTTTGTTTCCCTTGGTCTAATCCAGGGGATTTCTGTTATTCCCCTTCCAACCTCCCTTGTTTGCGGTTAGCATCCAGAAATCAAAGATGACATTTGACCTTTGTTTTGGGAGGGGGATTGGCTTACTTCACTTAGCATCATATTCTCCAGTTCCATCCATTCACGGGCAAATGCCATAATTTCATTCTGTATGGCTGAGTAATATTCCATTGTGTGTATATATACCATGTTTTCTTTATCCATTCATCCGTTGAAGGACACCTAGGTTCCTTCCATAGCTTGGCTGTTGTGAGTTGAGCTGCTATAAACATGGATGTGGCTTTGTCACTGTAGTATGCTATTAACAATTTTAAGACCTTTAGGTATAAACCAAGGAGTGCGATAACGGAGTCACATGGTGGTTCCATTCCAAGGTTTCTAAGGACTCTCCGTACTGCTTTCCATAGTGGTTGCGCGAATCTGCAGTCCCACCAGCAATGTATGAGAGTACGTTTCTCCCCACATCCTCGCTAACATTTATAGTTACTTGCATTCTTGATAATTGCCATTCTGACTGGAGGGAGATAGAATCTCGGTGTAGTTTTGATTTGCATTTCTCTAATTGCTATAGATGTTGGACGCGTTTTCATATACCTTTTGAGCATTCATATTTCTTCTTCTGTAAAGTGTTTGTTCAGTTCCTTTGCCCGTTTATGCATTGGTTTATTTATTTTTCGAGTGGTAATGTTGTAGGGACAAATGAGGCAAGGCACCGAATATAGCAGGAAATAGTTTTATTTGGCTGCAGCCAGGTTCAGAGGGCACAGCTTTTGCTGAAATCAATTAATCCCCCGAACCCTGAGTTCAGGGAGTTTCAGAGTTTTATACCCAGTGTGTAAGGGGAGGGGCTCAGAAGTTCACAGTCTGCAGAAGTTCACATAATAGCAGCTTTTTCTTTCACTGTTCTGGGCAAGTGGGCAAGTTAACTCTTCAAGGACAACACTTGAGAAGGGGAGAGCTTCTTCTCCCCTTTCTTTCCTCCCCCTGCCAGCTGTTACCATGGAGCCCAATTGTAACTTATCTTAAAAATGTAGACATCTCTGTGAAGCCCAGCTCAAGGCCAGAGGCCTTGTTTGCACATTTCTTCAAAGTACTATACTGGATACGTTTGTGAAAACTAGTAAGGGGGTGCCCAGCACCTGGAGTGCTGGTATCTTCTCGCCCAGTGGCCAAGTAAACAGGGCGACATGAAAATAGGAAGTTTATCTACATTGGACTCTTTCTCAGGGACTCTTTTGCTGACAGTCCTAAAATCAGCCATGGTGAAGAGGGCTTTTCTGTGGAGAAAGGGGGTGCCACTTTTCTGAGTTGTTTGTATACTGTGGAAATTAACACCTTACCTGAGGTACTGGTGGTGAAGATTTTCTCCCCATCTGTAGGATCTCTGTACACGTTCTTGATTGTTTCCTGTGCTGTGAAAAAGCTTTTCCACTTGATACCATCCCATTTGTTGATTCTTGATTTATACTCCTTGCACTTTTGGAGTCTTCTTGAGGACTGACATGTTGAAATGTTGGAGACTTGGGCTTACTTTTTCTATTTGTAACTGCAGGGTCTCCGGTCTAATGCCTGTGTCCTCGATCCACCTAGAGTTGAGTCTTTTGCAGGGTGAGAGAGAGAGGGGTTCAATTTCGTTCTATTACATATGGATTTCTCATTTTCTCAGCACCACTCCTTAAAGAGGCTATCCTTTCTCCAATGTAAGTTAATGGTGCCTTTGTCTAGGATGAGATAACTGTATTATGTGGGTGTGTCTCTGTGTCTTCTATTCTGTTCCATTGGTCTTCATGTCTGTTTTGGTGACAATACCATACTGTTTTTATTCCTATAACTCCTTGGTATTATTTAATGTCTGCTACTGTGATGCCTCCTGTGTCACTTTTCATGCTAAGGATTGCTTTGGCTATTCTGGGCCTCTTGTTTTTCCAAATGAATTTCATGATTGTTTTTCTATTTCTGTGAAGAACGTCATTGAGATCTTTATAGGAATTGCATTAAAACTGTATAATGCTTTTGGCCATTTTGATAATATTGATTCTGCCTGTCCAGGAACGTGAGAGATCTTCCCATTTTCTGAGGTCTAATTCAATTTCTTTCATTAGCAAATTCTGTAGTTTTTGTTATAGGGATCTTTCACCTCTTTTATTAGGTTGATTCCCACACATTTTATTTATTTATTTTTTTGAGGCTATTGTAACGGGGATAGTATGCGTGATTTCTCTTTCAGCCAATATCCTTGGTGTATAGAATATGATTGATTTATTGGTGTTGATTTTAAACACTGCTACTTTGCTGAATTTGTTTATGAGTTCCAGGAGCCTACCAGTAGAGTTTTGGGGGTCTTCTAAATATAGAATCATGTCGGCGGCGGCAAATTGGGATAGTTTGAGCTCTCCTCCTCCTCCTCCTCCTTCTTCTTCTTCAATCATATGTGGGGAGGGTTTGTGCTGGCACTGATCCAGCTGGACCCCTCTTAACCCTTCTGATTCCCTTGTCTTGGCTTCCCAAAGACCTGATGGGCTGTGACATTGACATGATCCTGAATCGAAGAAACTGCATGTTTGCTACCCTGCAGATCATTGAAAGGAATTTCCCAGAGGTGAGACCTTAGGCCCAGGGCCGGTATTTAGATAGAGGGGTGGAAGGGATGGCATTTAGGGCAGATGTGCCCACCAGGTGCTAGAAAGTCCCCATCACTCTTATGCTTCCTCCCACAAGCTGCTGTCCCTGAACTTGCGAAACAACAAACTGTACCGGCTGGATGGCCTGTCTGACATTGTAGAGAAAGCCCCCCATGTCAAGATCCTGAACCTCTCCAAAAATGAGGTGAGAAGAGAGAGCCAGATGAAAAAAAATTGCATTGAGGGTGGCTGGTAGGGCACAGCAGGGTGCTGGCAGGAGGCAGACAAAGGCAACTGGAGTGAGGGTCCCAGAGTCTGGGTGCAGGTTCCCAGGTGTCCCTCTCTCCCTGGGTCTCCTTAACCGGTTCCCTCCCCATCTTTCTCAGCTGAGGACCTCCAAGGAGTTGGAGAAGCTGAAAGGGATGGAGCTGGAAGAGCTGTGGCTAGAAGGGAACCCTCTGTGCAGTGACTTCCCAGACCAGTCTGCTTATGTAAGGTAGATAATGCCTGGTAACACCTGTCACCCTTCCTGGGGACCTTTGCCTCTTGGGAGCCTGAGCTCCCCCTGAAGTCCACCTCTGCAGGAGGATGCAACCTTGGCCCTCTGGAAGGATCACAGGCCACGCCCTCTCCTCTATCTGTGTCCCTCAGCTGTGCCCACAGGTCTGCTTTCCTTCTTGTGACCTGCTCCCCTTTTTCAGCTGGACTGGGGTGTGTTTCCCGCCCCTCTGCACTGGCCTCCTCCAGCAAGCCCTCCGAAGATGGGGCTGGGCTTCCCTCCCCTGTCCTATGAGTGGCCCTTCTTCTCATGTTCCAAAAAGGTTCCCCTTCCTATCCCAGGCTGACAAGGAGAGATTTCATACCCCGTGGTGAGGGCCCGGGCCCTGGGTGGCTACCGTCACAACATCTGTTCCTCTAGGCCATTGGTGGAAACTGTTTCCTCCTTGGGGAGAAACTTGGGTTCCCTGAGTCAAGGAGCCAGAGGTAGGCCACTGCCAGCAAGCAGAGGCCTTCCCAAGACAGGAGGGGAAGGCAGAGGGCAAAGGAGGGGCAGGAGGAGGAGGCGGGAGCACAGGCTGCTCAGGGGCACTGCTGCTCCCTCCCCCACTCCACATCCCACATCCAACCTCGTCCCTCAGAGCAGCCCTGGTAGCCCAAGTCAAGATGCTTCCTTGGGCAAGACACTGACTCAGACAGGCACCGGTGCACAGGAACCACCATGAGGGAACCTGGTGCTCATAAGAGGGGGCCACAGACCCTCTGTCACATGCTGAGCTGGTGCCTGATTCTTCACTACTGGTGCTGGGAATGACACCTCCCCTGGGGGCAGCTCCTTTTCCCATACCTGGCCCCCTCTGGGCCCACACGGGAGACAGAGGCTGAACCTGCATCCTGTGGGCCCGAGCCCAGCAGGTACATGTTTGCATTCCTGCCTGGGGCCGCAGGGCCAGCCAGGGGCAGGTGAAGGAATGGGCTGCAGTAGGGGAGCTGGTTTCTTCTCACTTCCACCTTGACCTCCAGCACCAGGGCAGCATCTTCCCCTTCCCTTTGCTTTGCTTCCTCTATCACCGTCTCTCCCTCCCCTACCTTTATTCCCTTTCTGTGGCCATACCCCTGCCTTCCCCTGCCTGTCTCACTCACCAAACCCCACCCCACCCAGCATCCTATCCTGGGAGGCGAGAGTATGATCTGGTCTTGGTCTGGCCAGGCCATGCCCCACGGAAGGCTGGACACCCAGCACAGTAGCAGAGCCCTGGTCTCCCACCCCATTCCCTGCTCCCTTCAGAGCCTTCCATGGGGGGACCTGGAAGAAGGTAAGGGAGGCAGGGTGGGCCCTGGAGGAGGGGGGTCAGGCCAGTGTAGATGGGAGGTACCCAGGGGAAAGGAGAGGGAAGAGAGCAAGAGGGAGAGAGTGTGCACAACCCTCCACTGTCACCTCACTTCATTAGATTTTTCATTTGCACAGTGCTATCCAGGATTGTTTCCCCAATTTGTTACGCCTGGTAAGTACGCACTTCCGGTCTTGTCTCCTTACTCACATGCCTGACCTCCCCGCTGGCCCCAGGCCTTGTGGGCCTTGCCTAGATTACGTGTGCACCAGACCCTCATCCTTCTTAAAGGGCATGGATTCTCCATGGCATGGACATTTTCCCTAGGGAGAACACACGTGCACACACCCATACACACCCACTCACAGGGTGCATATACTGGTAGAGATTTCCAAGAGCTCATGATGCAGACACCAAGTGTGATCTCACCCATGGATTTTCCAGGGCCTATTTATACGTGGCCTCTGGACCTTGTTTCCCCTTGGGCCTGTTCAACTCCTTGCTCTTGCAGTGCCAGCACCCTGAGCTGCACTGTTGACTTCCTCTTCCCTTCTCAAGGATGGCCAGGAGTTACCCACACCAATTGTCGTCAACCTTGATGCCCCCAAGTTAATAAAACCCTGCACGGTGAGAAAGAAGCACCAAAAGAGATGGGGGTGTTGCAGGGTAGGCTTTAGCCACCACAGAGACTAGAATGACCTTTTAATTCCAGGAAGAGTCTAAAGGAACTGAGACCCTAAAGAATCTAGTTCTGCAATTCCTGCAAGAGTAAGTTCCCCTGAGACCTTGAGGAAGGGAAGGCCTGGGACAGTGTGGACTACCATAGCACAGGTCTGCACATAGGAGTTTTCTGGTCTCCTGTGGGCCCTCAGCCACAGAGTTAGCCTGTCCTCTTTGCTCCCTCACAGGTATTACTTGATCTATGACCATGGAGATCGAGAGGGTCTCCTCAGTGCTTACCACAACAAGGCATGCTTCTCTCTGACCATTCTCTTCCATCCTAAGGACTCAGCCCAGTGAGTATCTGTGATCAGCTCTGACCCTGGTCTGGGGCACTGTGACTCCCCCCACATCCCCGCAGACACATGCCAGCTCCTTGCCACACCGGCACTGGCTGGACCACGATCCTTTGCTCCTCTTTTTCTCCTAGGAACAGCTTGTGCAAATTCATCAAGGATAGCAAGAATATGAGTAAGCTCAGGAATTCCTGTAAGTGTGTGATGGGGAAGACTGGGCAGCGGCAGCATAAGGGGGTGTCAAAGGGTCAGTCACGGGGGTCAAGGGCAAGGGTGTGGCAGCCCCCCTCATCTTTGCTTCTCCTGTCCTCTACAGACCAGTGGAAGCAACTGAAGCACACAAAACGTGACATCTTGGATACCCTCTGCGTGCTGCCCAAGACTCGGCATGACCTCAGCTCCTTTGTGGTGGACATGTGGTTCCAGACGGTGAGCACCTGCTTCCTCCCTGGGGTGGGACCAGAAAGCTGGAGGTGGGTAGGAGGTTAAGCAGATCCTGAGTTCCTGCATTGCCCCCTTTCAGGAAACAATGCTCTGCTTCTCTGTGAATGGTTTGTTCAAGGAAGGTGAGTGTCTATACAACCCCCTCAGATCGCCTGCTGCTCCCTCCCCTGGGTGGGCACCCTCTCAGAACTCTCCCAGCTTCCCTGATTCTAGGCCTTTCCTTCCTGTTCTTCCCTGGGGGCTCTTCCCTCGGTGCTCCCACTCTGCCCACAAAGCATTCTGGTCTGAGCGTGGTCTGTGCCTGTCTGTCCCACAGCTCTGGTGTGTGTTAGGGACATAGGCTGTGGGGTTCCATGGCTCTCCTCCCAGGTCCTTACTCTGTGGCCTTGGACCAACTACTTGACCTCTCTTTTTCGCCATTTTTTAAATGGGGCTAGTAGAACCCATCTCTTGGGCAGATGTGAGATGAAGATCAAGTGAACTTTTGAAGAGGTTTTCACAGGGCCCAACATGTGGTAGGGGCCCTATCGCTGGGAGTGGATTGTTCCAGTTGTCTTCCCCATTCCTGCCGTGCCCTCCTGACTCCAAGTGAACAATTGTCTGGGTCTGGCCTCCTCCAGTGGAAGAGCCCGACTGGGGGATGCTGTTTGAGCATGTGTAAAGCATGTGCAACTCCAAGGGAGTGTTGTTTGTTGTCCTTGAAGTGGAAGGAAAGTCTCAGGGATGTGTTCATGCCTTTACCCGGACCTTCGTTGCTACTCCTGGCAGCAATTCCAGGTGAGTGCTATGGGGCGGGTGAGAGCACCATTCTCAGCCTGGGACTAGTGGTATAGGAATGTGGTGGCAGAGTCCTCAGGATATTCTCCACATAGTGGAAGACCAACAGGTAGATCCAATGAGCAGTCTAGCCTAGTGGTTAAGACTAAGGGCTTTTAACTGGGAATGACAGTTCTCTTCCTGATCCCAACACTCACTATGTCCTTGGTCCAAATTACTTGACCTTTCGGTGAGACTCACTGTCCTCCTCTGAAAATGGGGACAAGAGTACCCAGGCTCTGGGGCTGCTGTGTAGGAGAAAATGCATTGGTGTTAAATCTACAAGTCCACTGGGCGTGGCAGCACATGCCTGTAATCCCAGCAGCTTGGGAGGCTGAGGCAAGAAGATCACGAGTTCAAAGCCAGCCTCAGCAAAAGCGAGGTGCTAAGTAACTCAGTGAGACCCTGTGTCTAACAAAAACAATACAAAATAGGGCTGGGGATGTGGCTCAGTGGTTGAGTACCCCTGAGTTCAATTCCCAGTACTATCCCCCCCCCCCACAAAAAAAATCTACAAAACCACTGAAGCTGGTACAAAATGTCTCCAAAGGTGGGCACTATGGGTAGGAGCCTAGGAATCTGGGAGGCAGCTACAGTAGGGATATTGGAGGAATCCAGATGCTGTGTGGCAGTGGTTAAGGAGGTAGGCAGTGTGGGGTTATCTGCCTGGCCAGTTGTTTCAGGGAGTGTTTGTTATTTTTTTCTCTCTCCAGCCTGTGCATCGTAAATGACCAGCTGATTGTGAGGGATGCCAGCCCTGGTGAGATCCAAAGTGCCTTCTCCATCCCCATGCCCACACACTGCTCCAGCTTCATGTCCACCCTCTCCCAAGAGCAGCAAGAAACTGTGCAGGCTTTCTCCATCCAGTCTGGGATGAAACTTGAGTGGTCTCAGAAGTGAGTGTTGGGTATAAATGTGAGTGGGGCAGGGGAGTGAATAATGGAAACTCCCAGGATATTTTGGGGAAAAACCTGTGGGTATTTGTTGCACAGTAAAAGTGGGCCCATGAAAAAGGTAGCACACTTTTTTACTGAAGTATTTAAAGTATATCAAAAATAGTATAATGCTCAAATGTCATCACCTTCCATATGAAGAGTCCAAAAGAACCCATCATGACAAGCCACTAGAACAAATATACAAGTTCAGCAAGTATTCAGCATCAATGCACAAATTTCATGGGTATTTCTATGTACTTGCAGTAAACAATCCAAAATGAAATTAAGAAAACAAGCCCATTTACAATAGCATCAAAAAGGGTAAAACAAGGCTGGGCCTGTAGCTCAGTGGTAGAGTGCTTGCCCAGCATGGGTGAGGCACTGAGTTCGACCCTTGGCACCACATAAAAAGAAAGAAAGAAAGATATTGTGATCATTTACAACTAACTAAAAAAAATATTTTTAAAAGGAGTAAAACACTTAGGAGCAAATGTAATCAAAGAAAGTAAAATCACATGTGCTGAAATCTTTGGCAAAGCATGGCTGAAGAAAAAAGTAAAGAAGATGTAAGTAAGGGGAAAGACACCTCATGTTCCCAGGGTGGAAGACGTAATGTCAGTAAGGTGCCAGTGCTGTCCAGAGGAATCTTCAGATTCAACATAACCCCTACCAAAATCCCCATTGGCTCCTTTGCAGGAGTTGACAAGGTGATCCTAATGTTTATATGGAAATGCAGCAGATGCAGGATAGCCAGAATAGTTTCAAAGGAAAAGAACAATGTTAGGAGACTCACACTTACCAACTTCAAAACCTGCTACAAAGCTGTAGCCATCAAGACCTTGTGGTACCAACATACAGACAAACATGACTCTATGGAAAAGAACTGAGAGTCTACCTAATGCACCTTTACATTTACGGTCCAATTGTCTATCATCTGGGCTGTTGGAAAAAGTTCCATGGGGTTATAAAATCAAAAAGGCTTGAACAAGGGGCACTAGGATGACTGGATGTCCACTTGCAAAGCCATGAATTTTGACCCACACTCCCAAGTCACACTGTAAGCAAACAGTGACTGAAAGTGATGAAGGACTTAAAGAGCCACAGCTATACAACCCAAAGAAGAAAACATGGGTATAAATCATCATGACCTTGAATTAGGCAACTATTTCTTAGGTACACAGCAGAAGCTCAAGGAAACAAAGAAGAATAGGTAAATTGGACTTCCTAGAGTTCATAGAATTTAAAAGCTTTTGTACATCATTGGATTCTATCAAGAAAGTGCAAAGACAACTGACAGAATGAGAGACAGTTTTGCAGATCACACATCTGGCAAGAACACATGAACGTTTCTTAAAACTCCACCATAAAAAGACAAACATCCCAGGGAAAATGGGGAGAGGACTTGACTAGGCATTTCTCCAAAGAAGATGCACACATGGCCACAGAGCCCTTGAAGAATTTCTCATCATCATTAGTCAGTAGGGAAATGCCAAGCAAAGCCATAATGAGTTGGCTCTTCACATCCACTAGGATGGCTTTAATTAATAAAATGAAAGTGAACAAGTTTGGCTGAAGATGTGGGGAAATTGGAAATCTCCCATTATACTGGTGGGAATATAAAATGGAACAGTCTCTGGGGGAAACATTTTGGCAGTTCCTCAGATAGTTAAACACGGAGTTACTGATTAGCCTGGTAATCCCACTCCTAAGTATATATACCATGAGCAATAAAAACGTGAACTCAAAAAAATTTTACTCAAATGTTTGTAGCAGAATTGTTTGTATTGGCCAGAAAGTACAAACAGCTCAGATGCCTTCTTGCTGATGAACGCATAGGTAAATATGGTACTACATCTAGCGGAATATCACTCAATCGTTAAGAAGAACATAGTGCTGATACATGCTATGTCAAGGATGAATCCTGACAACATCATGCTATGTGAAGAAAACAGTCACAAAAGGCCACATATTGTATGGTTCCGCTTATATGAAATGTCCAGGATAGGCAAAGCCATAGAGACAAAAAGCAGAATAGTGGTTGCCAGGGAAAATGGGGAGTGATATAAAGCTCTTGGAATCGGGTAGGTGGCATGGCTGCACAATCTTATGACTGTGCTACATGACCACTGAATTGTGTACCTTAAAAAAGTAAGTGCTGCAATGTATATCTGATATCTCAATTCAGACACAATCGGCCAGTCTTCCTCTTTGAATTTCAATTTGTTATTTTCTTGAGCATCTTTCCTTTATCAGTATGATCGAGCTCCTTTATGCTTTTGAACACCCCTATTTTTCTGCTTTGAATTTGGGTGAGCATGAATGTTCATGACAGACATTTTTGTTTTCACAACATCTTTCTTCATCATTACAGTGGTCCTCATTCTGGCACGTGCATCCCAGAAAAAGAGCAGCGTAGGTTAAGAGGTGGCATTTTGTGGCCAGCGTGTCTGTCCTGTGGTAGTAATGGAGACCACCTGTTCTTGTCCCACTGCAGGTGCCTGGAGGACAACCAGTGGAACTACATCAGAGCGGGTCAGGTCTTCACCATGCTCCAGGTGAGGCCTGGGGTTCAAGTGGGTGAAAGATGATGTCTCTAGGCCATTGGGAAGGTAGAGACCATGTGGCCTAGGCATGGAACTTGGGGCACCTGCCTCTTCTGACATCCTGACCCCTTCCCTCCAGAACCAGGGAAAGATACCAGGGGAGGCCTTCAAACAGATGTCCTGAAAGGAGCCCTTGGATGCCATCTTCCTCTTCATGTACATCGTAGTTTTCTGTCACCAACTTAAGTCCACGCTCATTGCTGGGGTTGCAGGTCTGGCTGACTAAGAAGTCAGAGTTAACTTGTAGGCCAGGTAACATAACCTCCCAAATGGCTAGTTGTTATGTGTGTTTTCCCCACCAAAGATGGCTGTTTATCTTTACAATAAAGCGTGATATTGCATGTTGTGTGCTGTGTGTCCTGGGTTTCTTCTCTCCTGATGCAGGCATGAGTCAACAGGGCCAGGACCGAAAGGCCCTGTGCACCTCCGCTCCCATCCCGTAGACCCTGGCTGTTCTTAAGCAGATCCATCAGGCTTGCTCCAAGACAGTTTGTGACTAAATCCTCATGAGAAAAGACACATGCTACTTCTAGTGATTGGCATTTGGAGATTGTGAGACTGTGAGATGCTCTCCCGGGAGGCCTGCAGAAGCAGCCATGTGACCTGTCACAATGGGGGCTTCTCAAGGGATGCTTTCTGGCTATTGAGGGCTGTGGAAACAAGGAATGATTGAGGCATGGAACAAAGCAAAATAGGGAGGTACTTGAGGGCTGACATATTTTACTTCTCTTTCCTAATATTTTTAGATTTTCATACACCATACCAGGTTCAGCTTTGTTTTTTGTTTGTTTTTTTTTTTTTTTGTTTTTTTGTTTTTGCACAGCTGAATAGGAATCGGGCCTCTCTGCATCTCTGCCCTAGCTTCCGTTTGTCTACCCCACATGCCTATCCCACCCTCTCCTCTTAGGCTGCTCTCCTAGGAATCTTCTGTTAGCACCTACAGTTGGTGTGGAAGGAGTAGTCCATTCAGGATGCCCAGCACATCCTTCACAGAATTGGAAGAAGATCCTCCATATCTATGACTTTTTTTTTTCTACCATGGATTGAACCCATGGACACTTAGCCACTGATCTACATCCCCAGTCCTTTTTTATATCCTATTATATTTATTTTCGTTTTTATTTTGATACAAGTTATCACTAAGTTGCTCTAATCCTCGCCAAATTACTGAGGCTGGTTTTGAACTTGTGATCCTCCTGCCTCAGCCTCCTGAGCCACGGGGATATGTCCATGTTCTTTAGTCGTTTCAGACACTCATTTTTACCTCCATATGACAACAGCAGTAGCCCAAAATCTCATTTTGTGGTTAGTTTTGTGGAAATTTTCCCAATGACTGATGGTTGGCAGTTCCAAATTTCAGGAAATTATTAAATATGACATCTGCCCAACTTATTGCCCACACTTCTGGAATGCTTTTACTTTTTTTGGATATCAAAATAATAGTAATACAAACTTTTCAAGTTACAATCTTAGAAATGATGACACCTGTGAAGTACCACCAGTTGACAATAATTCCTGCATTTTTTTTATGTTTTGGCAGAAGTAACTTGACACTTTCCATTCATGATATATGTTTATATTAGGGAGCCACATATCAGAGAAAAGAGTGTTTTTAAGTAGTATCAAAATAGTAAGTATTGCTTCAGAATAAATGTAAGAAATTATAAAAATTTTTACCCTGAAAATAAAAACATTCATGACAGGACACAAATATATATAAATGCATCACATGTTAATGCATCAGAAGAATTAACAGTAGTTAAAATTTCCAATTTATCTATTATAATGCATGGCACAAATTAATATTATTCTTAGCAAAATTTCAATGAAATTCTTCATCAAAATAGAGAAAATTCCTACAATTCATTTGGAACCATACACAACCCCTAATAGCCAAAGCTGTATTGAGAAACAATTTGGAGGTTTCACACTTTCTGATTTTAAATTATATTGCAAAGTTGTAGTAATCAAAACAGTCTGATACTGGCATAAAACATACAACAAGAGAACAGAATAGAGGGCCCAGAAATAAATCTAAATAAATATGTTTGCCTAACTGACAACTTCACCAAGATGATGTAATTGGAGAAAGATAATATTTTCAATGATTCTGGGGGAAGTTTATTTAAAACAGTTAAACCATAATCATATGCCGTAAATAAAAATAAATTCAAAAATGCATTAAATCCTAATATAAAGCCTGAAACTATAAAATATCAACAAGACAAATACAGGGAATAGCTCCTTGACTTTTGCCTTGTCATTGATATATTGGATGTCACACCAAAGCTCAGACTAGAAAAATAAAGAAACTATATAAATGAGACAATATCAACTAAAAAGATTCTGCACAGCAAATTATACAATAAACAAAATGAAAAAATTAACATACAGACTGGGAAATTATATTTCAAACCAGGTATCAGATAAATGTAAAAAAAATTCTTACAACCAAATAACATCAAAACCAATGTGATACTTAAAATTGGTAAAGGACATAAGAATTTTCCTCGAGTAATGCATAAAAATGAGTCAACAGGTATATGAAAATGTGCACAACATCACTAATTGTTAGGGAAATACAATTTAAAACTATTATGAGATATATACTTATTTTGATGGCTTTTATGAAAATAACAAGACAATGTGGATAAAAGGGAACACTTACCCTGCTGGTTGGAATATAAATTCTTCCAGCCATAATGGAAAATAGTATTGAGTTTTCTTTAAAAAGTTAAAACAAAACTACCATATGACTCAAACTAAAAAGTTTCTTCTCAGGAAAAGGAAACAATGTTAGGTGAATAGAGAGGCTATATCTTGGGAGCAAATATCTTTACCCCTCACACATCAGATAGAGCTCTAATCTCTAGGGTATATAAAAGAACAAATAACCCAATCAACAAATGGGCCAAGGACCTGAACAGACACTTCTCAGAAGATGATGTACAATCAATCAACAAATACATGAAAAAATGTTCATCATCACTAGCAATTAGAGAAATGCAAATCAAAACCACTTTAAGGTTTCATCTCACTCCAGTCAGAATGGCATACTCATACACTGCTGGTGGGACTGCAAATTGGTGCAGCCAATATGGAAATCAGTATGGAAATTTCTTGGAAAATTGAGAATGGAACCACCATTTGACCCAGCTATCCCATTCCTCAGTCTATATATACCCAAAGGACTTGAAAACAGCATACTACAGGGACACAGCCACATCAATGTTTATAGCAGCACAATTCATAATAGCTAAACTGTGGAACCAACCTAGATGCCTATATATATATATATATATATATATATATATATATATATATATATAT